CAGATTTACACATATATAATGTACTTTCAACTGTTTGAAGGATATCCATTTTTCATACACACCCTCAATCACTGATTTTTGTTCAATATGAAGTTCTTTGTAGTATTTTAAACTACTATAATAGTTGAAATACAGTACTTATGGATCCAGTACCTATGGGATATAGCATCCTATAGGATATTCCTCAACTTCTCTGAACATATAGAGGGTCCATCTGATTTACATGTTCTTCCTGGCAATTTATGGCTATTCACTGTAAGAAAAAAGAGACTAAGAGAGACTGAATCATAGTAATCATCAGGATCCACTTTATCAGCATTTTCTCCCCATCGCAAGAAGGTCTTATCTATCTTTATGGGTTACTTATAATACATATGATTTTTATCTTTTAGTATCCATGAGATGTACCTTTGCAGATCTGAGAAGCGATGCCATAGCTGAGAAAATTTACATTCTACACCATTTCTTCTTTATCAGATTAACCTACATTTATGCTTTCAAATAAAGAGAAAAATGGAAACTATATGAATAAAACTAGAAATCTTAACAGTGTAGAATTCATAGATTATATGAGAAAATTCAAGGAAATATTTCTATTTGAAATCTAAAGGCAACCACACTCTAGTCGTATTTCTGGCCAAATGCAAAATAGGAAAGTCAAATTGACATTAATAAAATTTGGTTTGCAATATGCTATGTTTAAGATATTCATACTTTCCAAACTATTTCATTATTACTTGATAAGTTGAGAAAATGGATGAACGGATGTATGATGGATGGATGAGCACATGGTAGAGAGATAGATAGATAGATAGATAGATAGATAGATAGATAGATAGATTCATTTAACATGTTTGCCTGAATTAACCAGATTGTACTACATGTTTTGGCATTGAGTTAGTAGATTACATGCCAAAATTTAAGGACTTGGCATGAAATTTTTGGGTGTTTGATACTGAAATATTCAGTAATAAAAAATTAAATATCTTCTGAGGAATTATTCTTCCAATCAATATTGATCTCTAATGTATGACATATATATATTAGCCAAGTATATTTAAGCAGTGCACAAATTTAGAATTAATGTGTTTTGGCTGATATGAGAAAGAAAAGGACCTATAAACTGGCATATGACCAGGATAAAATGGAGCAGAAAGAGACTATGATGTCTCTACTCACATGGTGAATTTCAAAAAAAAAAAAGAAAAAAAATTGGAAGAAAGGGGAAAGGAGAAGTATGGGGGAAGGCTTTAAAAGGTTAAAATTCTGCCATGTAAAACTTTTGGGTATTTTTTTATAGTATCCTCTTGTTTTTATCTATTTTTTAAGAAGTCAGTTTTTATCTTCTTTGATCTTAGGGGCTCTTTGTAGTCTTTTCATCAGTTTTATAAAATAGAGAAACCTATCTGTGAAAGATGGGGAATGTAAAGACAGATGTAAACCAGACTGTGTTTTCCATTATCCAACATAGTCAAACTAGTAAAATACGCTTAAAATTCTACAACACAGACAGCATTCCAGTCTCAGAAACGTGAGGGTAGCAGGAACTCAGTAATGAGCCCAGGATTCAGGCTTCCCAAATAACCACCGGATAGTGGGGCCATCTTATGTCCTGCCTGCGCTCTCTCACCATCTCTCCATGCCCTGTCTCACAAGAGCAGAGACTAGGGTAGTGTCTTTGTTGGCTATCATGCTGGGAAGTTGTGTCTCTTTGTGCAAAAGTAAAAACACAAGAGAGAAGACACCTACCTACCCATTAGCATTGTTCCCTGTCCCTCTCCCCTCTGCAGTCAGTTACTTACTGCCCACTCACCTCAAATGTTTACTTGCACTCTCCAGATTGTGGAGGAATTTTAGATTAAAAACTTGGTAGAGATAAACAATAAATATCCTTTTTATTTATTTTTCATTTGGCGTTAAGTTTATGACGTAAGTTTATTAAATCGCCTCTAAGAATTTGGCACTTTTTTTTTCTCCTTAATGGGTTATTCTAGACTGAATTTGCTGCCTTTTGTCAAACTGGATCATCTCCTTACCTTTCTTAATGCTCTGTAAAAGTTACAAGTATGCTGACCTTGCCTACTGTGTGACATCTGACACCTAGAATAAAAAAGTGGTTAATAAAAGCTACTTTAAAAAAAAATTCTTAGAAAAGAGCAGGAGAAACTATAGGACCGATCCATTATCTATTTTATATGTTTGTATTTTTTTAGAGATTTGTAGTTTTGAAAGCATACTTTAATCACATGTACTCTATGATTATCTTCCCTGGCTATTACAAATAATTGAGTTTTATTTACATTTCCTTTTGAGAAATACCTTCTAAATTTTAACTGGTAGCCATTAAAATCAAATCCCCCTCCCCTTAAAGTTGTATGTGGGTGAATGTGCACATGCACACTCACGCATGTGTGAGTTTTCTCCAAGGCATACTACACAATTGGTGCAAAAGGAAAGATATTTATAAAATATGGGAAAGCATGTAACGTGAATGGATACATACTATCTGGGAATTAACTCATAGATATTTAGCACTGCATGATAAGAGGTTGACCTTACATACCCATTAACATATATCTGAATGGCCTCAAGTCTTTTTAACAATGCATAGTATTTGTTTGTAATGCATGATAAATACACCCATCATGGGAAACTGGTACATATCCATAGCACATCATGATCCATTTACTTCCCCTCTTTCCCACCCTTCTTTCCCCACCCCCAGATCTCCTTCCCTTCTCCTCAAAGTTTATCTCCTTGTTTCCTGTCTTCTAAGTTTTCATTCAGCTTTATCACTCTCACTTAGGTAGATTACATGTAGCTTCTCAGTAGGACCACAGGAAGAGCCACTGTTCCATATGCACAGCATTCCAGTTCTTCTTCATCTTATTATTATTACTGTAAGTTAATGCAGTGCTGTCGTTCTACTGCCAAAATCGTGTGGGAATTTTAGTTACAATGAACTAGCCGAACTGCTGATTGCTCACACACACTAAAGAGAATGAGCAAGGGACTGAGCCTTCAAAGCAGAGGACCAGATCCTCTCATGGGGTCATCAGATGCAGTGATAGTCAGTTTAGCCTCTGGGTCACTCTCATCAGCCTGTCCTCTGCAACTTCCACCTCCATGTTGACACACAAATGTTTCCCACAAGAACAATGTTAGTAAGAGGAGTCATGTCAAGGTTACCGCTCCAGATATAAGGCAGATCTCTTTCTTGCCTCTTTTCTCAGGAATGAACTCTGAGATGAACTATGCCAAAAAAGAAAAAGCTGTACACATTCAAAAATTATGTAGCAAGAGCCTACTTTATGCTAATGAAATACCAAATAGAATAAGTATTGCTTTGTCAAATTTTGGTAAGGTACATGAAAAGTTAAAAAAATGTGATAAATAAAAATTCAAGAGCGAGTAAGAGAAGTGAAGGTAATAAAATGAAAATTTGTTATAAGGAATGATTAAGAGAGAACAAGGTCATCATGGAAAAGGTGGCTTGGTGATAGCTTTTTAGATGGAGACATTTAAGTAGCACCTTGTGAATGAGCTTGGGCTGTGCACCCTGCAGGAGGCCAGGGAGCTTATTGCAGGGTGGTGTGAGAATAGGCAGGAAATAAATGCTGAAGCCCCTTGAAGGCAAAATTTAGGAGTTTAATTTATATTATTTTTAAATCCATTAAGGAATTTAAGCAAAATCACTTGGTGTAATCTTCATTTTTAAAGCCACAATTCTGCCTTTTATGTTGAATGAACAGCAGCATGGTAAACATGAAAAATTAAGGGAAGATGGTCGTTTATCCATGGCTCAGCAAGACATGTTGATGGCTTGGTTTACTGTGCTAAAGTGGACTTTGAGTATAAAGATTACAAAGAATATAATGTTTGGTCAACAACTAGACAAGCAAAGAGATAAGATATGGATACTGGGTGCCCAAAGGGAGGCTCCCATAATTTTAATATGAGTGACCAGGGCTTTCCCAGTTCCATTAAACTGTAAGTAACAAACTGTGAAGGAGCCAATTGCAAGGCTAGGACAAAGGAGGCTAAGAAAACCAGAGCTCTGTTTTGATTACTTTAAGGTTCAGCTCTTAGGCTCTTAGGCATCCAGGGGCAGAAATAATCAGACCAGATAACTGAAGATACGAGCCTAGTTCTCAGAAGAAATATCAGGGACATTGATATAAATTGGAATATCAACTACATATGGATGGTTTTAAGGTATGGGGTTGGATGAAATCACAGAGGAAGGAGGTTTTACATGGAGAAGAAAGAGGACTCAGGTCTGAGACCTAAATTGCTCCAAGACTTAGAAGTCAACTAATGGGAAGGAAGCCAAAATGGAAGATAAAAAGTAGCAACCAATGAAGTAGAAGGATGGAAAAAAAAAAAACCCTAATAATGAAGCCAAGAACAAAAAATGGTTTGAAAAGGATAGTCAAATATAAATGAAGATTGAGTACGGTTATAATGGAGAAATGGCCATTGGATTTTACAAGTGAAGATTAATGGGAACTTAGGAAATTTATTTATTAAATGATTATATCTGATGGAAGAAATGTAGTGTCCCACTTTTTCTGCTTAATTTTCATAACAAATCCAATGTTGAAAAAATTAAGTGGAAAAGTGTGTTATCTAGACTATAAATTTCAGCACAGAACTATTGACTATTAAGTAAATGTAAAAAACTATGCAATATTATATAAATGACAAATTGAAGAGCTATCATTACATCATCTGATCTAAAATATTGTCTAATCTAAAAGATTTCTGAATGGTAGACTCATTTTCTACAAGGCTGAAAGGTAAGTTTTATGTTCAGATATTAATAACTCTGTTTTATTAATGCCTTAAGGCCTCTACATTTTAGTTATGAGGTAGATGTAATATCCAAAAAATCACTTGACCTAATACAAAAAAAAAAAAAACCCACTATTTGTGATAAGTAGAAGTGTCTAGTGTCTTTCTGTTCACTTAAAAGGCGGTATGTGTTTTTTTCTGACCAGGTATGGTGACATGGTACCAAAAACCATAGCGGGGAAGATTTTTGGTTCCATCTGTTCACTGAGTGGGGTCTTGGTCATCGCTCTGCCTGTTCCAGTGATTGTGTCCAACTTCAGTCGAATCTACCACCAAAATCAACGAGCAGACAAACGAAGGGCACAGAAGGTATGTTTTCGGCTCTGGGACATCATGCTTTAGAAGCTTCTGCTTTTTATAATGAGCAGCAACATTCCTTAGTGGCTATTCAGTCTGCAGTTATCTAGCACTAAAAAGAAAATTAACATCTCTTTGGTGAAAACAAGAAACTTTTTCAGACATTTTCCAGTCCCACCGTGGTCTGGACATGGAGGCTGCACCATGACAATGTATTTGTACCCACATTCACCCTGGGTAGAGGACGCAATGACCACTTACTGCCCTCTGAGGCTTCCCCAGGAAATGGCCCCATCACTGCCATCTCCATGGCATTAGCTACATTAGTCACAGAGCCACAACTAACTTCAAAGTGAGGAGGGAAATGCCTATTATGGGGCCAGAAGTAGAAAGTGAGAAATTATTCGTGCACAACACTAATAACAACAGTAAATTCCAAGATAGATTTTTAGCAAATTTTATTAAAACCCATTTCTAGATCTGAGGCAGTCTCTGTCCATCAGAAGTCAAGCTGGTTCTAACAGAAGAAGACTTTTAAAGGGATCAAAATGTGTCCCCAGTATTTTGATTAGTTGACAAAAAAATAGGAGATATCGAATACTCTACAACTAAGTTGCTTTCTGGCCCAGCTGTTTCCTGTTTCTCCAAACTTCTTCCCAGTTAATTAATCCCTCTAAAAATAAACATGCCTGTAAAAGGAAGAAACAGTAACATTAATATTACCTGCAAATGTGTACTGATTTATTGCTAGTATATGCACTTAATGATATTACCAACATCTAATGTCTACTGACTATATATTATGTGTCAGACATTTGCCTAGTTTTTTTTTTTTTTTAATGCATATGATCTTCAAGTAACTGTAAGAGTTAGTTACCATTATTCATTACTTTTATAGCTAGGAATCCTAAAATAATCAAGACATAAACAATTCTACAGTCACATATGTAGTAAGTTAAAGAGCCACCATGCAATCCAAATTAGTCTGACTCCTAAGTATATTTGTTTAAATACTCTGATCGGTTGCCTCTCAGAAAAACTGACTGAATATTAGCACGATCCCTTTTCCATTCTTTGTCAGAATAGTCACTTTAAGGTACAAGGTCCTTTTTTCTTCGTGATGGCCTTAGATATATTTTCTATAGTTCTCTCAGGTTGTATATTGCTATCTTTCCTGTACTCTTCCGGGTCACCTCGTCTTTGTTCTGTAAAGACAGTATCATTTTTTTTTTAAGCTGGGCATATAAGTGTATACTTGTAATCCCACCACTCAGGAAGCTGAGACAGGAAGACACCAGAGTAAAGTAAGCCATAGTAAGTACAAGGTCAGCCTGAATTAAAAAAAGAACTTTGAATTCAAAAAAAGAACTGAAGGTAGTAACAGTGTTTAATACCCAACACCTGTTCATAACCATGACTAAAATAGATGTATGATCTCAAGAATGTAGTTTTGCCATGAAATATGAGAAATTTTGATGCAGTTCATTTTAATTTTTAGAATTTTAAAAATTATTTTTCTCAGTTCATTACTATCAGTATATACTTCTAGAGTGGATTTAAATATGTATAGGGTCTTTCTTTCTTTCTTTCTTTCTTTCTTTCTTTCTTTCTTTGTTTCTTTCTTTCTTTTTGGCAGGTGCAGGGTATTGAAGAAGGACCTTCACACTGATAAGATTTGTATTGAATGCAGTGATGGGTAGGAGGGTTAACATTCTGAAGCAAGGGGCCCACTTTGTTTCAAAATATGAACCATTCACATAATCATCTACATACTCACAAACTCACAAGGCTAACCTTTATTTATCATGTAATCATAGTAATTATAATTTATTACTAGAAAAGTAACTCTGTACAATTTCTAATATGTTCCATATGCTTTATATGTGTCATTTGTAATAGTCACAATCAAAATATTATATTTGCAATCCTCCTATCTCAGTCTCCTAGGATTCGGATATTAGAGATGTGTACAAATATGTCCAGTTTTATATATGTCTGACTTTTGACCTACATTAACCTCTTAGTAAAATATAGCCTCATAAAATTGTTCTTTGAAAAACTCATGTTAATCAGCATGGTCACACAGTTTGTTATCCAGAGAATCCATTTATTCTATTGTTAGAAAATCTCTTTAGAATAAAGCATTAGGCTTTCAGTGTTGAGGCTGTTTGCTTTATGAACTTGGTACCCTAGTTTTAGACACATACCTGACTTAACTATTTACTGAGAAGGGTGATAAATACTGTAGGTGAGTAACATGACTATAGAAAGCTGGTAATCCAGGGAACAGGAAGCGTTAAAAAAAAAAAAGCACTCTGAGAAGTAATCTCCTGCAGGCACAACTTTCACAGGCAAAGCTGGAAGCAAGCATTTCAGGGCCCACCAGGGAGAGTTTTACCCACAACTGCAGTCTCTCTGCTAGGCACATGCAGACCGTCTTTAAAATAAGGACAACCTACAAAATGTTTAGCTCCCACCACCCATTACCTGTGTTCTAGAAATCCCTACTTTAACAAAGGAGTTACTTATATGAAAACTGGAAGAACACAAATATTATTTTCAATTACAGTCATCCTCAAAATACCTATTATTTTTCAAAAGTTTATCATGCACAACAACAAAGAAAATCTTACAATATTTAAGAAGCCTTTGCCTGGGTAAATTTAAAAATCTAAAATACATAAATGTGATATTGTAAAACTACACTGATTGAAAAATGTGTCTTATAAGTCCTTTTTGTATTATTAGAACATCATCTGTATTCTACATTTCTGATAACACAGTGAGTTTTGTGTATGACTACTAGAAAAAAATGACTTAACAAACCAAATATAATAACCTACTATAAATATGTCTGGTAAATAGTCTGTGACCAATAAAAAGAGGATAATCCTCCAAATCAGAACATAAATATGGAACAAAATAAGTTACCAAGGAATATTTCTTATTTGCTTTGCCAAAATGTTTTTAATAAAGCAGACTGAACTTCAATTAAGCTATGATAGCTTACATTTATCTAAGCCTGGACAGTTTGGCAAATATCAAAGTTATGCAAAAATAACCAGCTAATTCAGTCAAGCAGGTAGTCAATTCAGTAAAAACATCCTGCAGGCTGACCAATTAAAGTAATATTATAAATGGCTTTTTAGAACAGATGTTTTGGTGTTTAATTCAGTTTGCCAACTTCAAGCTCAAGCAAAAGAATGGAATAAATGCAATATGCAGATGAGAAAATTTCTGTTGAATGTGTGATGGATAGGAGGATTAATATTCTGAAGCAAGACCACTTTGTTTCAAAATTTGAACCAGTTCCCATAATCATCTGTATACTCATAAACTCAGAAGGCTAACCTTTATTTATCAGGTAATCATAGTAATTATAACAATACTAGCAACAGTAACTTTCTATAGAATTTCCAGTATGTTCCATATGCTTTATATGTGTCATTTGTAATAGTCACAATCAAAATATAAAGGAGGCAGTATTTCTAACTTACAGGTGACTTGTATACACCAATTGGTTAAAACCTAAGCCCCCAAAACACTAACATTATTCAGATGACGAATCTTTAGTTATCTGCAGGGATTTTCCTATAGATAATTCAAGCAGAATAAGAAAATTAGATCAATGATCCAGTATACAGTATAATTAAATAATTTTTGACATGAAAATTTGTGGAGATGTCAGGACTAGAATTCAGGACCTTGAATTTGCCAGGGAGGTGTTGTGCCACTGAGCTCTATCCTGGCTCTGACATGAAGATTTTTTGACATTCACACAGACAGATGTTATCAGCATTCAGTCTTTTATCGCACCCTACTTTGATGGTTCTTCAACTTTAAATTGCTTAGACTCGTATGGAAAACTTGCTAAAACCCATGATGCTGAAATTTACCCCCAAAGCAGTAACAGTATCTGATTCTGTAGTTTTGAATGATAGCTTGAGGTCTGCATTTCTAACAAGTTCCTAGGTGATGCTGATCTGAGAAACACAACTTTAAAAACCATTGCCTATTTTATTGAACAATGTTCAAATAAAGTACTTTTATAACACAATTCTAGATTTAGTAAAATACAAGAAATACTCATGATTCCATGTTAGTCTGAGAAAGATCTTTTAGATTGTGCAGCATTAAATCCCTATCGCAAACATCTGTAGATAATCTAATTTAGTATTTGTAGCTTAATAATTATCTGTTGTTAGACAGGCATGGAGGCACATGAGTGTAAGCTCAGCATTCAGAATGAGACAGGAGGATCTCTAGGCTTCAAAACAAGCTTGGGCTGCGTAATGAGTTCAAGGCAAACCTGCACTACAGAGTGAGACAGTGTCTCAAAAACGATGATGATACTGTTTCTGACAAGTCTAAGAGTCTGTGGATTATGAGCTTCATATCCAGTCTAGATTTCACCCTCACTGAATCACCTCTGCTCTCAGATCTCCACTCCATTCCTTTATCACCTAATGTGGCTACCTTTCAAACTCCTACTCAGGATTCAAGGCTTAATATTTGTACAAGGAGTAAAAGAATAAGTGCATGGAAAACAAAGTCTTATCCACCTTGAAGTGAAGTCCATTTCTAGGATTTCGTGGACATTCCCAGGACCAGTTAAAAACAACAGTGTAAGATCCTGGGTTCAACACTAAAAAATAAGAAGTAAGAGATAAATCGGGAAGCACGTTTAAATCACTGACCCTTCTACGCTGGTCAGTTCCCACTAGGCCACACCCTCGATGCTGCCTGGTTCCTTCCACTGCCCAGATCCTGGTGGCGTTTCTGCACACCGCTGCCAGCACCAGCATTAAGCAAGCTGTGAAGCTGGAATATTGCACTGTCTTCCACCAGCTTCCTTCCACTCTGTCTTTCTATTATTGTTTGGCAACAATTTGTCTCATTTCTAGGGCAGCTATTTTCTTTCGCAAATGGAAAGAGTCCAATAAACTCATTAAATTTTTAAAAGCTGATAAAGCCTAGTATGCTAAACCCACATGAAGCATTTTACTCAACCTTAAATAAATGAAACAACTGTAAGTGAAATTTCCAGAACACATGATAAAGGGAATAAGAGAACCAATACTTGAGAAATAAAGAATTGCCTCAGCTTACCCAGAGAGACACCTTCTCTAACACACTCTTAAACTGCATAAAATACCCTGATTTTCCAAAATTGTTGGAAACAATTTGGTTTTGCTAATGAGACAGTCCAGTAACTTCCCACAGTCTACCTCATACCTCGTTTACAAGAAGGGTACACATTTACAGAAATCACCCAGGGTATTTGATTGTATATTTTTCTCTGATCACATCCTGGCCTCTATTCCAGAAGAGACATTATAAAGTTATATAATGTCACTTGGGATGATTTTTAAAATAGTCTACATGATAAAACCATTGGGTTCTACAACATACTAGTTGCTGAAAACTCCACACACAGAGGCTTTCGTGTCAAGTCCTCCTTGTTGCCCTCCCCTGCGTTGTGAAGAGCCCACAGCAAAGAAACCTGCTTAACATCTCAGCATTTCCCAATTTTTCCTTGACTGCAGATTACAGTTGTTTGCTTTATGTTTTTTTGTTTGTTTGTTTGTTTTTTGGATTTTACCCATGCCACTTATAAGTCCTTAGACCCAGCTTTGAGAAACATTGCTGAGATGAGATTTGGCAAAAATTAAATTTATGAAAACTTGAGATGAACAGGAGTATGATTCAAAGGTAACTTTTCCCAAACACACATCAGTAATTCTTAAGTAATATGTAATTCAAAAATAACCACAAAAGCTTTAAACTGATATAGACCTTGTTTTTAAATTAATATTTGAGAAGCCTCTATTATGGAAAGCCTTACTTTCCATATAGCCTGAGGTACTTGCTGAAAACTTTCTTAATTTCCATACTACTTGCTGGTGCTTCTCCGCGCCAAGTCATATATCCTACAAGAGTCCTGGTAGGGGACTAGGAGAATTGTTTTCTTTCAGCCTTTTAATTGCTCAGCCAGAGTTGCCAAGAATGTCATACTGAGTAGGTCAGAAGTAAAGTGATTTTCTAAAATATCTTTATAGAATATTTTCCCTCAATTACCTGCTGGAAACGAAGATGCAATCACAGATTTTAAATGCTAACATTCAACAGATATTTGATGTGGTGCTCCACAAGACCTATTAAAGCAATTAGCTCATACAATATTGCAGCAAAGTGAAAGAAAAGTCAAGATTGAAATTAAGATGGGAGTTTCTTTTTCTAGCAAAAATAGCTTTGTCTCTAAAACAACTTATTTTTTCCTCTAAAGTTAGAACCACTCCAGTAGTAATGATTGCTACTATATGTAGTTTTGTCATTGTATGATGAGAATATAAGATATTTCCCTATGCTGGCCAGTATTTCTAGTTAATGAGCATATCTCACCAATGAAAGAAAGTAACATCCTTTAGTGCTAACTGCTTGGAGAATGACATAAGTAAGACTAGTAAGTATCATGAGGCAATATTGTATATAGTAGTTGCAATGGAAACAAAGGGAAGGAAAAAAAGTGAAGGAGAGAGGTGAGGAAAAAACAAGGGGGAGGAGATGGGAAGGAAAAAAGATAAGACAAACAAAAGGCAATGAATGTTGCAGGAGATTAAAGATACTGCATTCTGGGACACATCATGTAAATCATTGATTTCTGAATAGCAAGCTCAACATTAAGACATTTCTGAATGTGTTTGTCACTTGCCATCGTTTTAGTGAGTCTGACCTGAGAATTCTTGCCCTGAAGCTCAGCTTTTGAAGTTAAAATTTTTTACCTTTCAACTTCATTCTCCAGCACTGGTTCAGGATTTTTAGTAATCTAAACATTACACTGACAAGCGCGATGTGTTTATTTGTCCTGTCACTTATAAATGTACAATATATTGTACATACATTGCATAATATCTTTGAACAATATGTTTTACCCTGGAATCAGCATATAAGAAGAATAAATTTAAGAGTGAAAGAAGAACGAGTAGTGGAGTGAAAGCCAAAATGATATTTTAAAACTATCTTGAGGGTTTCCAACATCTCAGTGCTTCTCCCAATTACATGAATGAAGAACATATTGGGATAACAACTTTGAAGGAAAATTTGATTAAAAAACATACACATTTACACATATATAGATGTACTTGCAATCACAGATCTTAAATGCTATTATTCCACAGATATTTGATGTGGTGCTCCACAGGACGGGTTAGAACAATTAGCTCATACAGTATTACAACACAGTGAAAGACATCTTTTGATATAGAAATAGCTTTGCTTTCAGCAATCTTATTGCAGATAAGCACTTCATGATGTTCACAGCAGGCAGCATCATAACAAAAGAAACTCAAGAATTAATTGGTAGTGGACTGGCTAAATAAATGTCACACCATTCATACAGCAGCATATTACACATTCTTAAAAATGAGGTGAATCATTATGTGTAAACATGGAAGACATTCCAAGAATGGAAACCAAAAACAACAAAGAGTAGAAAACTTTTAGGAGTATCTTTTAGTGGTTTTATGTGTTTAGAAAGTTTCTGACATGTTTCCCTAGAAATATTTCCAGTCATCACCTCTGACCCATGAGAAGATGACTCCATGACCTGAGAGACTTAACTTGCTGGCACGGACTTGTCTGTATTGCAATTATTTTGTCATGTGTACATACCTGTTTTGTATTTTTAAAATATGTTTTTCAAAGTTTTTATTAAAACCAAGAGCTTGAGACTAAAATTAGTGTTTTTGTCTGAGGGGAAATGGAGCCTCCACAGGATATGTTTCCAAGGATACCCTTTTCCCTAGCCACCCTGGTCGCTTTGTTGCATACACTTGCTAGACAGAAGTGAATGGAAAGGACAGCAAAGTCATGCTCTCTGGGCAGTCATCCATCCATGACAGCCTCCAGGCGGCTCACAGCAGCAGTTATAAAGCAGAATGCAACTCTGGAAACTGGGCTAAACACGGGTCTGCTCAGTAACACCACCGAGCAATAACTAGCAACAACTTAAGTGACCACCTAAAGTTCTCTGAATTGAATTGCATTAAAAATTAAAAAATTAAAAGTAATCTCACAAGTCTTTCTGGATAGGTTCATTTTTTTTCTTCATTTCAAAAAGTCCAAAAGTGAAATAGAAACCAAATAAGCATAGTTATGTGGCCCTGTGCCATCAAAGTAAATAATTTCACGGGTCTTATTTAGGAAGGCATATTAGTCAGCATGAGCTCTACTTTGGCTAAATTAACAGACTAATTGCACAAATAAAATTTAAGTTGAAGGAAAAAAGAATGGAAAAGAAAGAGGAAACGAAAAAGGAAACTACTTCCTGAAACTCAGTTACTAATTTTAAAAAAGGACATTACTTTAAATGAAAAGGAATTTACAGCTGGTTTACTGAACTATTAGTTTTCATTTCATTAAGTTTCTCAAATTGGGATAAGTGAAATATAAATCAAATAATAGTATTATTTTTCTCTTGACACAATTGAGAGAAACACTAATAAAGTAACTTGATTACTGTAAAGACTAATTATAATTCTTAAATACATATCCCAGCTGTAAGGTAGTTAGCTGACCTTACTGATAAATGTCAACTAAAATAGAAGGGGAGGGGTAATTTGTAACAGTTACATATGAAACTATCTTAAACAGTTTAGACACATGGATGTTACAAGATTACAAAAGAATGCCATCGCTGACTGTTTCAAGAAAACAATTCATAGGCGTTAATGAGTCATTGCCTTTCCTCTCCTGCAGAAAGCTAGACTGGCCAGGATCCGGGCAGCCAAAAGCGGAAGTGCAAACGCTTACATGCAGAGCAAACGCAACGGTTTACTCAGCAACCAGCTGCAGGTACAGTCAAGCACCTCACTGTTTTTAATGATCAATTTATTGGTGTAATATTGATTTAGTTCTACTTAACAATAAAATTTTATTGTGTGTAATTACGAAAATGGCCACTGAAACAACAAAAGTGTCATTTTTTATAACTTCCCCTGCAGATTCCAGTTGGCTATATCATGCTAGAAACTCTATTTTGCAATACTGCTAGTGCACCATGATTCCTGTTCATAATCAGGCGATAATATCTCTGAACTATCTCATTAACATTAACAATAAAAAATACTCAGCAGTCCAAATGTCTAATTCTTTTTTTATTTCAAAATTACTTAGTTCTTTAAAATTCAGTTGGATGGGAAGCAGGGTAGCAAAGCGGGTGGCATAACATCTTGTTTACTTCATAACAAAGAGAAAACACTGTTCATTCATTCAGTTCAAGGTCTGAAAGACAGTATGAGAACGTTTACCTCAAAACTTTCTTTTAATAGTTAAGATTTCAATCATCTTTCCTCACAGAACAGCTTTCATGTAGGTAGCCTGATAGTGTTGTAGTTTCGTTTAGTTATTATGAACACTACACAGTCAGGGTCAGATAAAAGAAAATAGCCTACTAAATCATCAGCCATCTGAGCTTAGAAATGTAAAAGGAAACACAAGAAAAGAAAAAAGATTAAAATAAGAATAGAGAGGCTCTTGTCCAGAGTTCACTGTTAGTTTATAGTTAGAAAGAAGACTTTGTTTCAAAGTATACTAAGTTAGTTAACAGCTCCTCCTTACCTCCATTAGAAATGCAAATTAACCAATTTCTTTTGAACTCAGTTCTTTTGAGTCTCTTCCTCATCTCTCCTGTAAGCAAGACACAGAAAGCAACTTGGACTTCTGTTCTGAATCCCCTTGTGATGAACATCCACCTCCAGTTTCTTTTTATTTACAAGAAAAACTCCTGGCTGTCTTTTAGTTTTCAAATTCATTCTTTGATTTTGTGAGACCAGGAGCTCATTCTGTAACTGTTTCAATAGTGGATTCAGGATTATCTAACTAGCAAGTTAAATTTCATTATCCAAAGTCAAGTCTTCCAGGCTTACAAAGGTAGTCATTGTATGAGTAAAAAGGATTTTCAATTTAAAGAAGGCATATTATAAAAGAATATAGTGTTAATATGATAAAATATCTCCAGTTTAAAAGCAACTACACATTTGTCCCCTTTGGTTAAAAAAATAAATACAGTGCTGCCAGTGAATCTCAGATCTCTCTGTGCAAATGTGTAGCTGAGGTGAAGGTTATTTGCAAATAAAATGGAAAGCACTTCTGTCTTCTCTGTATTAACAGTCCTCGGAGGAGGAGCAGGCCTTTGTTACCAAATCGGGCTCCAGCTTTGAAACCCAGCACCACCACCTGCTTCACTGCCTGGAGAAAACCACGGTAAGGAGACAGCGTGACAGTCTGCCTCTGCCCAGGAATCCCATTTGCTTTCGGGCACATGTAATGTTTCCAAGCATGATTTCCCTCTCGGCATTACTGGAAAATATGCTAAAAGATAAACCAAAAGCTCATAGCATTCAAAATGACTTTGGAAGCCTACAGTGACATTTCAACCTAGAAATTATTTTAAATATTTAAGACGCTTTCTTCTTAGTGGTTGGTATCTCATCTCTAGTCTAAAATACCAGTGAAATGCAGATGCAAAGTTGTCTTCTGATAGCTAGTCCAATAAAACATCATTTCTTCCTTTTTTAAAAAAAATGCTAATTCAAAAGGAAGTTTCAAATGTTTCTGACATCTCAATAAAGAGACTCAGTAGTAACAAAAAAGAGGAAAAACAGAATATAAGCATTTTTTTCTTCACAGATGTGGTGAGTTAAGGTAGAAAAATTTCTTTTCATATTTTAAAAAATGCCACATTTGATCACAGGTCTGCCCGTGGGTGCTCAGGAGGCTGCATGTCTTCACATGGCAGCTCTCAGTGGAAGCCCTCCATGGCAAAGACCTCTGAGGCTGGTCAGCAGCAATCATCATGAGCTCCTTCATGTGCCAGAGACACATCCTAGGCACTGTCCATTCCGATGGATTTCCTATCAAGTCATCTGTATTATCATTCAACAAACACTATACCTGTTGCTTACGTGCCTAACATGTGCCCAGTGGTGAGGCAGATTCCAGGCAAACAATGAAGTCAGTCTGGCTTCTGCCCCCACTGAGCTTCCTTGTAGGAGACAAATAGGAAACAGAAACATGGCTGTTACTGGAGAAAGCAGTGAACAGAGGAACCAATGATAGGGCTGCAGCAGTGGGGAGCAAACAGGGCAGTGCCCCAAGGGGGCAGGTTGAGGCAAGGCTCCCTGGAAAAGGACTTGAGACAGAGAGAGTGGGGCAAAGCAATGAAGGAGAACTTAGCCGAAGGGGAAGGAAGGGATGTGAGGATGATGGGCAGGGACTATGCAGCAGCCGCTGCAGCAAGAAGAGAGAAAGGCAGCGGACAGGAGTGTTGGCTCTGCAGGTACAAGAACAAGTGTGATGCTTATCTGGCTAAACAAAAGTTATTTGAGTAGTTAACAGGATAATTACATAAGTATATTTACATTCTTAAATAAAGATACAGGTATTTGCACTTTTAAATAAAGATCATCTGTTAGGATAAAATTTGAAAGATAAATGATTGCTAAATGTCGGAGTTCGTGGATGAGCATTTGTCTCTGTCCTTTAATTTTCCTTTGTCACTATTTTACCACTGAAGTTTTTAAATGAAATCATTTTACCACCAACAAATGCAGTTTTAGTTGTACCACCTACAAATATAAGTAAGCAATAACTGAATGATTCTTTAATTCCAGTCACTGATGAGATACATTAGAATCTCATACATTGTAACTTGCATTATGTGTGTGCATTTTGCCTTGTAAAAGATGACAGACTGTGAATTTTTGTGCACTATTTTTCTCCAAAAGTTACTATTTATCATATTCTCTGGACCTTAAACAGTAGAATGCTAAATTTCATGTGTTTCACAATGCTTCTCTCAGTAAAGAAATGAAAAAATGAGTAATTTAAACAACCTACTTCCTATTATCCAGTGAATTGCTTCAATTGTTTTACTAATACTTCAAGATAAGAGATGATTAAGTGAAGTTCAGTATGCGTGAACCTTTCATTATAAGACTTTCCATTCACAGGAAGGAAAAACAGTAATTGAAGTCATTCTTAGTGATCAGACCAAAAATATTTTTCCCTATATTCCTGAGGTAAACTTCTTACATAGACATTTTAGTACGCAATTCCCTATTAAACATTTAAAAAGTAAAATATATGCAATGCTGCTATAAAATAAAGTCCTGATATGTGCAATGATACCTGCCAGCTGGAATTTAGGAAGACAGTAGTAGAAAAATTGTGGGCACAGACTGAAATCTGGGTTCACCCTGTGAGATTTCACCAGGGTGAAAAAGAAGGCCACAAAAACTTACAGCTAATTCTTCCTGAGTCAAACTGATACATTCTGCAGATGAATGTATCCTACTTAACTAATAAGTCATATTTTTCTACATCCTGGGGATTTTAGAGAAGCACCTAAGGAAACAAAAAAAGTCTCAAGTATCTTATTTTTTTAACTAAAAAAATGTTTCAATACATGTGAAGGTATTTGCTAGTGTAACAGTCAATCCATCTTGGGACATTCTTTAAAATAGTATCTTTTTGAAAACTTAAATAAAGTCAATGTGAATTTATAAATTTCTTATGAATATTATCTGTATCATTTTAAATGTGTTTTCCACTTTAATTTATAATTTCCTGCTTTGGTGCTTAAATTAATAAATGTGCTTCAATGGAAAGTCAGCCTGTGTATGAATGAACACTGTGCCAGCCTAGAGAGATTTTATTTCCACACAAATGACAAAATAGGTGGCTATGATAGTCTAATCATTATGAAAGTTGCATTAGTTATCTATCAGATCAAGTTGAACTTTAGGCATATACGAATTTTTTAAATCTATTTTCTTTTTAAAATTAACAAAAGTCTCTGTCTGCCTTCTTCACATCTTCTCACCATGACTAAACAGAACCATGAGTTTGTGGATGAGCAAGTCTTTGAAGAAAGCTGCATGGAAGTAGCCACGGTGAACCGTCCTTCCAGTCACAGTCCCTCTCTCTCCTCACAACAAGGAGTCACCAGCACGTGCTGCTCACGACGACACAAAAAAACTTTCCGCATCCCTAATGCCAACGTGTCAGGAAGTCATCGAGGCAGCGTGCAGGAACTCAGTACGATTCAGATCAGATGTGTGGAGAGAACACCACTGTCCAACAGGTACCTGGGTTCTCTGTGCTGTGTGATGGTTCATAGGCCATGGCCCCTTCGGTCACATTGCCACCTCTGTGACTCCGGAGTCCCAGCTACTAGGTTCGAAAAGAGATAAAACTGCTGGGTTTGGTGGTACATTCCTACAATGCTAGTTCCCTGGGAGGTTGAGGCAGTAGGATGTGAGTTCAAGCCTCTGCTCCTGGGTAATTTAGCAAGATCTTGGCTAAAAAGAGAGAGAGAGAGAGAGAGAGAGAGAAAATAAAATTAAAAAAAAAAAAAAAAGAAAAGAAAAAGAAACTAGGACTAACCTAGGGCCTTTCAATTCCCGGCAGGAGGTGGGGGACTTACACTGCAACAAACAGGAAAATGGATCTACTGGCATATATACCCTCCCTTGCCAAAAGCAGCAGTTACATCATTGTTAAAGAGCAAAAGGAAAGGATGGCCATGCACACACAAATGAATATTTTTTTATCTCTTCAACTCCATAGTTTTTTCTTATTTCAGTAAGAGCCTCTTTCTATGCTCTGAAGTCCCTTGTGTTAACTCAAATGATCTAAAGTAACAGTCAACACCACTGAAAGGGTCAAATGAAATTGACATCAAGATGATTAAAGATTATTTAGTAGCACCTAAAAATGCAACAACCTCTTCAATGAGAACTATGCCTACATGAATTTTTTTAAGCTTTTACAGTTTATTGATTCTCTTATTTAAAACTCATGCAATCACCACAGATGGTCATTGCAGAATCTTTTCGCCAACACCAACACTGGCTTTTCAGTCCTCCATGACTTTCTCCATTCTGTTCTTGAATTCCTTTTGCTATTTTCTTGAGGTCTTTTGCTTCTCATGCAGACTATGTCTTCTAACTCCAGTTTTGAGTTCATTTTTATTTGCACAATCCGATGAATCATAAATGATGCCAAAGCAAATTACCTTGCACCTCTAAAGTGGATTCTCAATCCAAATAAGAAAATGAGCAAGCTGTGATGGCACATGCCTGTAATCCCAGCACTCAGGAGAGGTTAAGGCAGGAGGAGTGTTTGTTGAGAGTTCAAAGTGCATTCAAGACCAGTCTGAACTGCATCATAAGACCCTGTCTGTCACTTCTCTTGTCTTCTTTTGTCAGGAGCTTCCTATTAACATACAGCTGGTTGATTTCTTGGTGGATCCTTCCAGTACCAGCACAGCTGTTTCTCAGGAGGCACTGACTTTTCTCTGCCTGGAACCTGCATGAATTGCAGGGCTTACCAGAAAGGCTGCCCTGTTCACGAATCTTCTTCACAAATCTATAGTTTTGATCATAATTTTGGCAAAATAAAACACAAATAATCTAATATTTAAAAAAGCGGAGCTGGCTGTGACAGCATAGGCCTGTAATACTAGTTACTTGGGAGACTGAGGCAAGAGAATTGCAAATTTGAGGACGACCTGGTCTACCTAATGAGATGCTATCTCGGTATGAGAAACAATTTCAAGTAAAGTGGGCTGGAAATGTAACTTCATGGTACAGCACCCCTGGTTCAAGGCCCAATATAGGAAAAAAAATTAGCTAAATGAAATAGTAAAATTTGACTGAGTGTGGTGATGAATACCTGTAATCCCCAGTACTTAGGAGACTGAGGCAGGAGGATCCTTGTGAATTCAAGGCCAGCCTACACTGCCTAGGCCCTGTCTCAAACAAATAAACAAATAAAGAAATACCAGAATTGTTTCCTTACGGTTAATGTATAAATGATTTATATAAAATGTTTTATTGATATTTCCCCCCTTGCTTTATTATTTGCTTTTACCATGACAATATGTATAATGAAAGTATTACATTTAGATTATACATAGCATTAAAAAGATTCATTCTTGCCAAAAAATTTACTTCATTCTTCAACTTTAAAACCATATATTTTTAGATCTTTCGTCTGTAAATTCAGGCTTATTTCTTTATTAGATTCAACAATCTTCATTGAAAACCTGGATAAAAGTCTGGATTCAGCCTATGTTGATTTACAAGATTGGATGTGTTTGTGATCAGAATGTTAAAATTTAGAGCAATGAAAATTTCTGTCTTTAAGATTGTGCACTTTTGCTCTGCAATATGTCCATGACAAAATGAAACAGGGAAGTCTTTAGGAAGAAAGTGTTCAAACAAAACATTTTAATTGTTTTCTATGAAAATAGTTTTAATCTCATATTTATACTCTTGTGGCTTCTCCTCCACAGAGTGTAACCTCAATGTTAAGATACCCCTGGGATAAATTTGAAGTACTAGATCATAATAGTTAATATTTTGAGGGTTCTTAATGTGCTACCAATCATTAATTTGCGAGCACCAAGAGCATTATATGTTTCAAAAACATGTGATAATGAAAAACCCCTGTGAGCTAGAGTTGAAAAGTCCACGTGGTATGACCCCTTCCATAACTGTGCTCAAAACTGTTGAAGTCCCTATTTTAAGGATAGCTATTTTGATTTAATTGTCTGAATCTTACCTGATCCTCTTTCTCTCATGCATGTGTTAATCTTTTTAATAAACAAAATGATCGAACTAAATCAAGCTTACTTTTAGAAATCTATTGTTAATAAACTGACCAGTACTAAAGATAACATACATTTTTATATGATTTTATTAAGCATTTGAGTGTTATTTAAGATTTGTAAGTATTCAAATAATATGTTTTTCAGTTACATAAAATGTTTTAAATACACAATTTACTTTTTTACATCTGTTTTTCCTCATCAGCCGATCCAGTTTAAATGCCAAAATGGAAGAGTGTGTTAAACTAAACTGTGAACAACCTTATGTGACTACAGCAATAATAAGCATCCCAACACCTCCAGTCACCACACCAGAAGGAGACGACAGGCCAGAATCTCCTGAGTACTCCGGAGGAAACATCGTCAGGGTTTCTGCTTTGTAAGACAATGGGAATAGGCTTAAGAAAAAATTAAGCCCTGGCTGTGGGAAGAATCTCAGTGTAGAACAAAGAAGAACCAATAAACCTTTTGCAGATTAAGACAGCAGAACAAGAAGGTTGGTAGTGAAATAGAAGTACAGCTCCCAAAGTTGAGGATGTGAACGAAAACCACCAAATGGCATTTCTAGACAGTTTAACCTGTTATACAGAGGAATATTCTGTGGCCCTTTGACTTTGTGAATGAGCACAATGAAATGCCACCTGTTGATGCTTCTTATGATCAGAACTCTTTTTTTAATAAAACAAATAAAATAAATCTTTGAACATAATGTTCCAGTTGAATGCAAAGCAAAAAATATGGAAACATTTTGATAAAAATTTTTCCTGTTAAAACCATGAACATTGGCTATGAGGAAGATTATTACATGTGAAAAAAACTCATACAACACATTTGTATTAACTAAAGGAAACCACCATAATGCATGCTAGAATTCTTTGGAGCAGTGATCTCAGTTTCCTTATGTTGTCTTCAGAATAGGCATGATAACTATAATTGTAGAAAGGAGAAATTTCTGTGCACTTACAACAAACTGATTGTTCATGTTTCATGGTGGGCTGTGCAAATAAACTCCTTTTAGGACTGCAGTATTTCTCATGGGGATGCTCATTAGTAAATCTAAGATGTTCAGATAGTTCAGTATTAATTATTGTTTAACCTTGCACCTAGTTAATGTTACAACTGCAATAATTCATTGTACATGTATTGTATCAAGAAACGGAATTCTTTTGTTGTACTTTCCAAATCTTCATAGATACAGTAAGAGCCACATTCATAGAAAACCTCTGATGTGGCCTGGTTTTAGGTGACCTTTTAGTTCAAAACTAGTGTCATAAATGTTTTTCGGTAGTATTCGTTGGTCCACTGTAATCCTGTGACCCAGTGCATTATTCATTCCTGTATTTCTATAGCACCTTCCCATTGCGTTTATCATCAGCGGGACTAACGTTTACTGTAGTTCGAATGACTTTCGTACTTTTGTATTCCCCGACACATCACCTTGTAAGTAGATTACCATCAATCCCCTGGTCAAAAACTAGAGAAAAGGAGTTGAAATTTATTGATTATCTCTAACGTCTTTGCTGTTTATGGAAATGCTCAGATGCTGGATATGTCAGTATGTATTTTATGAAGAGTTGACTAGGATGAAAATTACAGGATCAAAGATCTCAGAATCTCACTTGATATATGATTTATTTTGCTTTCAATCTTGAATACATTTCAAGAATTACTAATGTGAATTAAAACACGGAGATAAACTGGAGTCTTTGGATAGGAATTATTTGATGAAAACATGCCTTCACTGCCATCCAGGAAGGTAGTACCAGTTTATCTCAGAAACGTTCCTGTATTTTTCAAGGTGCAGTCTTCTCCTCTAAGCAGGAGAGGACAGGAGTTTGATGATGCAAAGCTGATTCTCTGTGTACATTTAAGTGAAAAGTCTTTATACCTTTTCACCCTTAAAATATATCAGCAGCCATGTCTGCACGTGACAGTGTAAAAAAACTTTATGTCAAATGAAGAGTTTTGTTCATTCTAAGCCACCACTGTAAGGAGTAAACCTTGGTTTGTATACACGGAAAGAGTTAATAATTATCCCTCTATGTAGAGATTTAAAAATAATTATAACATCATAAAGTGAACTAATCCAACCATTTTAAAGTAAAGCCAGAAATTCTTACTTCCCATTTCTAGAATAGATTCTAGAGCAGTGCTACGCACATAGTAGATATTAATAAACATTTGCTGAAAGTAAGATAAACTCAACTGTCTCTTGGGAAGAACTGGCTTTAATCCTAGTGTGTCTTTTTAAAAGTTACTAATCTTCCAGCAGCGTAAGTATTAACAAGCATATTAACACCTGCCTCGTGTCACTTTATGCTTCTAGAGCAAATATATAGTGAAACTCCTTTAATGGCATTTATTGAAAACCTTTTTAAAAAGTAGATTAAGGAAACAACAATCAGGAGTACTTGACATCCTCTGATTCCCAATAAGACTTATTTTCACTGTGTTAATATCACATGAAAGAAAATGCAGTTAGTTTATTTTGGTTGACAATTCTGCCTCCTCTTTTGATTTATCACTTATCCAAAACTATTATTAATTTCTTTAGACTTCTTGAAAATATCTTTTTGATGTTTTAAGTGATATTAAAATATACTGTGTTGGTGGTGAATGACTATTGAAGACTGTGTTAAGTGCATCTGTATTGTAAGTGAAATGTGATTATTTCTGTGTATCATATGGAGTAACTAAGGTCATTGTTTTTGACAATTTTGTTTGAGATTCATATATCTTATTTCAAAGGATAGCATAATATCTGCATTATGCTGGAAAAATAGACCTTTGGAGAATACTTAAATAAAACATGTGCATGCTTGAACAGGATAATGTGGTTGATTGCTGTCATTTTTTCTCAGATCTTATTTCTTCCCCAAAACTAGCACAGGACTACCCTGTAATATTACATAGGAGGACCCTGTGATGCATACAGAATCAAGGCACTCACTACTTAGCTATCTAAACTAGTGGAGACAACAGCTGTCTGCCGAAAAATGGAAACTAAGGAACAAGCTTTAAAAGAAAACTTATTGACCTGTAAGTAAGAGCAGTTGCTGGATATTATATACAGCTTAGCCAATTCTGTTTGAATCAGGCAAAGAGAAGCTCTGACATAACAGCTTTGAGCAGAACTCAATTAAATTCTCAAAGAATTTTTCCTTCTAGGAAAACAGCATGATTTATTAGTCTAGCTATATGTGAATGAATGTATGAATGTTACAGGTATAATTTTTAAAAGCTTATGTAATTAATATATAAATATTAATACATATATCTATGCATACAAGTAAAATATATATGTACACATTCATAGGCTTTTGTTCCTTTTGAAAATGTGAATTTTTGATGGTTCTGCTTCAATATCCTGGAGGGATAAAAAAAGACAATGTTAAGTGTACAGTAAAATTAAGAAAAATCAAAGAAATCATTTAGTACAAAGACAGATTGAATAGTCTCTACATTTTTTTTATCAATTCTTTTCATTGATAGTCTTTGAGTCATTGAGATGTCAATTCTACATTTAAAAAGGTTCAACATGCTTCCCCATTACTTAAGTTTAATCACAATGCTGGCTTGGAAATGGCCTCTGGGGAGTTACGATAATGTCTTCCAGTAACATTGCTCAAACAAATACAAAGCATTCTTGATATCAAATAGAAGACTCCTCTGAGTCCTAAAAGAAAGACATCTCCTCTTTCTTAGAGAGTTATTACAGTGTTTTTTCTTTTATTAATTCACAGGTACAAGAATGGCTTATTTTAATGCAGTCTTCATTGGAATTTTCAAAATAATTGTGTCATCACACCACATTTTTAAAAGTGAGAGTTTATAGTTTCCCTCAGCTACTTGCTATTTAAATCAATAAAAGTTTCTCCAAAGAGTTGATTTTCTACTTCTAAACTATTGTTATTTTGAGCAGCAAGTTTGCCTAAGAAAATTATAACATATATTTATTGCACAAAATTTTAGTAGCTAGATTTAGTGGCACAGACCTGTAATCCCAGCACTAGAGAGGCTGAGGCAGGAGGATTGCCGTAGTTTGAGGTCTTCCTGGATATTATATACATTTTAGCTGCTTCTGATCAGATCAGGCAAAGAGAAGCTCTGACATAATAGCTTTGAGAAGAACTCAAATTCTCCAAGTGATTGTACACAGTGTGTCCAAGCAGCCTCAACTTGCTAGACTATCTAAAATAATTAATAAAAACACTAGATCTATACATCCTACCCTTACCTCTTCCTACCTGCGCTGCCTTTTCTCTTCTTGTCAAGTACTATTCTTTTAGAAAATCTACTTTTTCCCTCTGGTTTTGCTATAGAAATTCATTAGGTAAGTACTGTGTATGATGTGAGCCAGGCATTGTAATAGGTGCTGGAGAAATAGAGATTAAGAAATCAGATCTATTCCTCCTCAAGGAATTGTGCAGTGGAAAATAGCTCAAAGGTCTCTCTCCCCCAGAGCTACTCATCTGTTTACAAGTTTTCTCCTGGCTGCTTTATTGACAAGCACCTTTCTGCCTTGGCCTCCAGGAGGCATCTCTTCAGCAGTGCTTACATGAAGACACTGTTGTTCAAACACCTTCTTTCCATCATATCATTAAAATAATCTTTGTACAGAAAATGATTCTACAAATGTAAGAGCAGCATATTTGGATAAAGAATAGGAAATAATATAAAACAAAGAGAGGGTGAATCTTTATGTTTATGAGTTGATCGAGGTAAAACAAACAAAAACCATCAATAAAACCAAACCCTAACCTTTCCCTAAGTATCCATTCTACCATTCCTACAGTGGCCTGAGAGAAAATGAAATGCTGCTGTAAATCCACACCCCAAATGAGCTTGTCTCATTAACCCTACTGAAATACCTGAAAGACTAACACAACTTTAAAAAGTACTTTTTATCAGACACTCAACAACAGTGTGGGCCTAGGTGATCCATGTCAATTCCAAAAGCACAGGAAATTTGTTGAAGGATATTTGTTGAAAGGGTGGGCACCAAAGATCTTGAGACACATTTGCAGAAATCCTGGAAGCAAAGCTAGAGGAATTGACAAAGGCTACATGTTAGTAGAGAGACATCCTGGAGTATAATTCTAATTGAAATTTCAGCACTTTAAAACCAGATTTAAATTGTATGAATTCCTTCATTAGTGCTTTTAATCACAGCACCAAGGGCTATCTTAGCCTCTTATCAGCTTTCAGCAGGCACCAATAGATTGTTCAGGAATCTCTAACACTCTGTGTAACAGAAAACAGGAGCCTAAAATAGCAGAATAAGGAACTGGTACTAAGATATAGAAAAAGGACTTGGAAGGACAAAAGTTGAGTGGATCTTGAATTGGATAAATGAATCTGTTAAATTAATCAAGAGAGGAGGAGATTTGTATCAGAAGACATAAACATTGTAAAAGTAAAAACTTAACTTACAGGACAATTTCACATGGGACTCAGTCTGAGCTTAGAATACTTTTATTCTCAGCCAACATAGTAAGAAACCAATGTACAAATCAAAGAAGTAAAATTCCAATGCACACTTTGAATACACAGATTCATTGCTCACAGATTCTCAGTGAGCAATGCATAATGACTGTAACAACTATGAAAGGGTAAAAACAGTGACTGCTGACACCAGGCATTCGCTAATCACTTTCCGTGCACCAACCCATTAAATAATTGTATTAGACATGTTTTCTGTTGAGAAAACTTCAACATTAAAAAAATAATGAGTCTGAATTTTCCTAATTTAGATAATACAAAAAGTTAAATTAAACCAAGTATTGCTGTGATAGAGCTCTACTGTGCAGAGACATCGATGCTCTTGCTTCTTTTAGATTAAAACAAATTAAAGAAAATGGTGGGGAGCAGGGAGGGAGACCAGTTAAATCCATGCTCTAGTGGTTACAGCTTCTTTATCAAAGACAATTATTCCTCCCACTTTATTTCTTCAAATTTTTTCTCTTACACTGAAAAGTATGCAGTTCACAACCACTTCCTCACACACTATAGAGAAAGTAAAATAAAATGGAACCTGATTAAGAAACGTATTGCTGTCTTAACTGACAAAGATTCTATAACCTCTTGGCAGTCCTGCATGCACACGGAGTTCATTTTCCAGCGACGGAGAGAATTATGTGTCACAGCATCCAGCACTGAGCCTGGGCTCTCCTTCTTGCACAAAGCCTCTGGAACTTTCCAAGCTACTGAAGCCTGCAGCATTTAAGTGCCCCAGGGGCCAAAACCTGGAGGCTAATGATAACAGAATAGAAATGTTTTGAAATTAATGTCAATAATCAACCACAAATCCCATCCTTTGTTATCTTTTCTAACTCTAATCATTTTTATCTTCCTAAATTCTTGCAGGCAAAAATTTCAGAGATGGACAGCAATCCCTAGTGAAATTTAATATCACATGCAAAATAAGGTGCAGAGAGAAGGTTCAGATTGGCAAAATAGATGCATAATTCAGTACCCCAAATTAATGTAGTACAATTAAAAATATTCTTGGATTTTTCCATCCTAACAAAGAACTCCAAAACTTTATGTAGGTCACTGATATTTTTTATTTGTTCTTAATAAAATACAAAGCTGCAATAAAGGTGTAAGCACAGACTTTTGATTTATACAGAACCATAGAAAATTTAATGTACCTTTTAAAATGGTACTTGGGATATAACTACTTGCAATAAAACCTCCTCTTTAGATTTCATCATTTGCTTGTTTTATGTTCCAAAATAACACTGGCCTATTAATAATATGTCTTTACCATCCACTTCAATCTTTGCCTTCCTATTTTTCAAACAGTAACATGTAATTCATTTTAAGTATTATTGGTATAGTCAAAACTTTTACATGAAAAATTAAAATCTTTTTTAATAGGATTAATGATACATGTATAAAAGAATCAACATTACATATGGTTTACTGCTGTCAAGTTTTGATAACAAATTATAGAATTTTAATATGAATTATAATTTCATAAAATTATTAAAAATGTTATAAAATAATAAAACCTCTAAATTGTGATATAGCAAGATAAAAATATGCATTTCTGGTTTCTTCCAACTTGGCATTGCATGTCATATAATTCTAATATGACACCACACTGCCCTATGAAAAGGAGGTGTGTGTTTATTAACAGCTTCACCGTTAAACTAAGTTGCATTTATTCATCCAAATGTGGAGGAGTCAGCTAATGAGAGAAATGAATCCATGAATGACTAGAACTAAAAACCACAAATTGTCTGTGAGACACAGAGCTTAAAAGAGCAGAATAGTTCAGCACGATGTCATCAGCTTTTTGATTAATTTAACTAAAATTCAGTTCATTGGGCAAAGGTACCAAGAATTTCAATAGATTTTTTATGCAATTATTTATTATCAGACTTGACTTGCCAATTACATGGGCTTCTGGAGTTAATTCAAGGCACTTCTCCTATCACCTGTATTTTCACACTGTAAGTATCTCAACTTAAATTTATATTGAATGCTGAAATGATTATAAAGAAGTCAGCCTAAAGGTACAAATGCTCATTTCTGGGGCTGTGTATCTCTGATTCTGATTCAATGCTTTTGTAATTATTCCACCTGTAGTCAAAATTGAGATGTAAGTCAACTTTAGAATGGCTTTTATTTCTAATTAGTTATATATCTTTATCTCTTTTCATAACTTAAAGACAAGCAACTTAATACCAAAATATAGAAGTTCAGCCTCTACCAATGGCTTTGCATAGTATAAGAGAAAGTAAAAAAAAAAAAAAAAAAAAAAAACTAATTTAAGTGTACTGTACTACTAAAATAGAAATATGTAAAGAAATGTAATAGAAGTA